CGGAGAAAGTCTACGTGGGATCGAGGCTATATCAGCATAAGCTGGACGCTGTCTTAAGCCCTCTCCAGTTTTAAACATATCCATATTGTGATTCTTCCGTGTGTCATGTTTTAAAGTTCAAACCAACTTCAAGGAAGCTGCTTTCACGCGATCTTTTTTCTTTCTCAGACTATGTTCAGATAAGAACATGTATGAAGACAAAAAGTTTTCAGTTTTACAATAAGAACCGGGACGAGAAGTTGCTTCACATTTTTGCCCTTTAAGAGTAATCGACCATGACTGATGCGTTCACATGAAGTAACTGGAATAATCATTCCTACGGCTATATGAAAGAATCAACTTTAGTTTAAAAATCCTTTCTTAACCCTATGTATCTAGCCTTATCTGTGATGTGTAAATCTGGATTTTTAATCAATCTTAACCAAACAGTGGTGCATTAAAGGCAAGTGTGTTGACAACGGATTACCGAGAATTAACGGAGGGTGGAGTGAGTGGTCTGATTACAGTCCTTGTAGCCGAACTTGTGGGGGAGGTGTGCAATACCGTGAGAGGACTTGTACCAACCCACCGTAAGTCAATTACGATCTTGATTACGATCCAACAATTCATTACAATTCATTAGTAAGAGGCCCTTTCGGCTCCAGTCTCATAGTAGTTCAATACTGATTGGACGCAAAGAACGGCGGATGTTGTCGTTGTTGCTGTTTTAAGTTGTTGTTTTTAACTACAAACCCTCGTCTAGAATAAAATAAACCGACACTTCACAACTTCCTTTCCATAAACTCCAGTTAACACCAGTTAACTAAATAAGTGTTCCATAAACCGAATAGTAACCTGTGTATGAATACAAATACAAAAAAGGTGCAGCGAAGAAATAAACTGAATAAATGAACTAAAAGAAAACAATAAATATGGTCAGCTAAACATGGATATATTTAAATTTCAGTAATTTTTTTTTAAAAAATAAGATTGAAAAATATATTCCATGTGCTTATTTCATTTTTCAGACCCACAAATGGCGGAAAGGAATGTTCCGGAGAATCTAAGGCGAAATGGAAAATATGCAATTCACAGGTGAGAAGCGGAAGAATATATATAGAGCATCGATGAAGAGAGTTGAATTTACTCGCTCAAGTTCTTCCAGGGGCTTATCTTAGCATTTTTACCGCTTACTCCCATCGCGTCATATTTGAGCAAAAAACAGTTCAAACTTAATCACAGATTAACCTGTTAAACTTCATATCGATAAAATACGGTGAGAAAATGGTAATACTTTTTCAAAGAATAAAATAAATTCCCTTTCAACACAATTCATACAGATTTCTTAAGACGACTAAAAGCTTTTGCCATATTATACTATTAACGTTCATAACCGGCTACCATTATGAAGAAAGAAGAAAACAATGAAATGAAGGAAGCACACCCTACTAAACTCTGCGGAATTGCCAGCAAGATACTAATACGCAGAGCTATATCACCCTGGCAGATCCCTGATCCATACGCATGTCAAGAAATGTTTTACAGTTACCAGCCAATAGTCAGCACATGTGTTCTTTGTGAGCTGGCGCTTATGATTAAAGAAGAAGTGCTTTACACCATCGCTAACTGGCTCCTAAATACGATTTTAAGTTCAACTCTCCAGCTGCCAGACTAAGCACTATGCCATATTGATGAGCTCTGGTGACAATGATAATATTATTATTATTATTGCTTTTTGGTTTCCACTGCTAGAGTGATGTGGCCAGTATGAGGCGATTGACTCCATGTATAAGGAACTTCATACCCTAGAATTTGGTAGTGTGTCGATCCTTCCCTGCTGTTTAAGTCTTGCCTCGGTCACTTCATTTGATCTTTTTAAGGCAGTCATACTTCTTGCCAGTCTGAACAGAGATCGTTTTAGCTGAAATACTTGATTTTAAACCCATCGTCTAGCCACTCGCACTGTTCACACCATAGCATAGACTTCTACTGCATGAATTTTTCTAAACAATGGATACTCCGAAACACTCACTCACTCACTTGGTCGCCCGAAGGCGGGCAACCACTAGATCTTTCCACAGCCTCTTATCAGCCATCAGTGCAGCAATCTCACTTGCTTCAAATGCACCAGTATCCCTCTTAAGAGTGTCAATATAGGTAGTATTCGGTCTTCCTCTCCCACGAGAAATGGTTGCTACATAATAATGTTCTGTTTGGCACAGGGGACCAGGTTCCAAGTGTCTTGATGATCCTCCCAGCTTGTCGGTTCCTACGTTAGGAAACAAGAGCCTGGCTGGAAAATTGCCTGGTTTTCTCTTCAATGCGGACACCCAGTGTAAATTTATATATGGCGATAAGTATAGACAGTGTCCTGACAGTCAGGTGAGCTGGATTGAACAGACCATGCTATTCAACTAGTAAAATTAAATATCCTCAAGCGGCGAACGCGAATCAGAAATCTGTTATCTGGATACCAGGAATAGGAGTCTTCATCATCCTCTGAGACCTCCCCTTTCCCTTCGAGGGGTAGTCAGTTGGGTCGAGAAAAAAGGTGCGCTCTTCCAATTACCCAACAAACTGCCCCTGGGTCTCTGAGGATGGGTCTTCATGAGTTCTCTTGGAAGATAGGTCTGACCACTATATTGTACACCATCCCTTCTTTCAGACTGTAACATCTAAATTCACTCATAGTTCTTTGTAAAACCCCTGCCTTTCGTGGAAAAATTAGCAATTATATCAAGTCCCTTTATAGCTTTACTTTTCAATCAGCCTGGCATTTCCCATTTGTCCAGAAAGACTCCTATATACCTTACTAATGGGAGTACGCCCCGGGACGGTAGAGGTCGATCTTCAGTCATATGCATTGTACGAGAAAAGACCGGACGGAGCTTCCTCTAAACTACAGCTATTGACCACAGTTTATACAGTAAGCCATCATGACAACAAATTCTGTAAAGCAACTTCAGCCACGTTTGTAAAAGTTCATCTGAGTTGGTTTTGAAATCAGTCTTTTTCATCTCTTTCCACTTCCGTGTAAATAGCTTTAAACTCCAGCTGTAGATTGTATAATATGTTCCGAATATCAGCACCTTCAGCACCTTAGACCCTTGTAAAATAAGGACCGAGCTCGAGTGTGTTGAAGACAGAAGTATTCAGATATTTCGATCAACGTTGTCGGATTTTCAGGCCTCAAGACCGCAAGGTCATTGCCATAAAATGATTAAAAAAACTCACAAACTTTTTTTTTTTTGTCTTTTTCTGACAGAAGAATCGTGCTTCTTCGCTGTCAGTGAGTTGGGAATTTTTCAATGAAATTTCTCATTTTGCTTCACCGTCTCATTTCCTAGGTTTTCCAATAGAGTTAATTGAAATACTGAGCTGTATTATTTTGATATTAATGGCAACGTTTCTGTGTTGAACAGTACCAGACATGTGCCTATTTGTACTGTGCGAGATCTTCCAGCGTTTGTAAGACTATAATGCCCCACCTGCTGATGGAACAAGCTGCGGACCACGTAATGTATGTCACCTTTAAAGTCTGGTAGTTATAAAACGTAATTTTTGTGAATACTACAATTAGCCTCCTACGCAGACGTTTTTGTTTTTTTTTTTTGGCTCTTCAAGCAATCTTCTCCAAGGCGGGGAATAGGCTGATTTAGCAACAGAACGGGAACGTCAGTTGACGACGGTGCGTGCAAATCAAACAACTGGCTTGACCAATGGCAGAGCGGCAAATTGGGCACCGGAAGTCGAGTTTAGTCCTTTCCGTGCGCTTTCCCGTCGTCAAATGACGTTCCCGTTCTGCTGCTATTAGTGAACTTACGCAACAGGACGGGAGAGGGAAGAAGACGGCAAACCTTGTGTGACAAGCGTGACAATAATTTTGTTTGAAATAACTTTTCGCCAAAATTCACTTTCCTTTAAACAGATCTTTTTGTAAAAGACCAGAAAACATTGATGTTAAGTGAAGATCACGACAAAACACGTAAGAAATAGCCTTGTCACGTTTGTCACACACGAGCGTTCTGCCGTCCTCTTCTTCCTGCCGTCCTGTTGCGTAAACTCACTATTGCGGGACGGGGCCCGGAGAAAGTCTACGTGGGATCGAGGCTATATCAGCATAAGCTGGACGCTGTCTTAAGCCCTCTCCAGTTTTAAACATATCCATATTGTGATTCTTCCGTGTGTCATGTTTTAAAGTTCAAACCAACTTCAAGGAAGCTGCTTTCACGCGATCTTTTTTCTTTCTCAGACTATGTTCAGATAAGAACATGTATGAAGACAAAAAGTTTTCAGTTTTACAATAAGAACCGGGACGAGAAGTTGCTTCACATTTTTGCCCTTTAAGAGTAATCGACCATGACTGATGCGTTCACATGAAGTAACTGGAATAATCATTCCTACGGCTATATGAAAGAATCAACTTTAGTTTAAAAATCCTTTCTTAACCCTATGTATCTAGCCTTATCTGTGATGTGTAAATCTGGATTTTTAATCAATCTTAACCAAACAGTGGTGCATTAAAGGCAAGTGTGTTGACAACGGATTACCGAGAATTAACGGAGGGTGGAGTGAGTGGTCTGATTACAGTCCTTGTAGCCGAACTTGTGGGGGAGGTGTGCAATACCGTGAGAGGACTTGTACCAACCCACCGTAAGTCAATTACGATCTTGATTACGATCCAACAATTCATTACAATTCATTAGTAAGAGGCCC